CCTCCCATGGGATCCTTTCCTAACCATGGATGTGTAGCATTGGGGGTGGAGAGCAAGTCAGAGTGAGCCAGAATGTAAGGAGCCCACTGTGACCCACAGGCCACTACGGTCCTGGACTGAGTAGTGAACAAGATGTAACAGTCACACAGAAGCCAGTGGGCAGTGCCTTCAGCAGCTTCTATAAGGCCCAAGGCATAGGTGTGACTTGCAGGGCCAGCTCTTCCAGGTCCATGGGATTTACCCCACCCTGCTGCAACCTTTGTCTGCTCAGGATGTGTGTGAGTGAATCTTCTAACTCTTTATCTCACAGGGAGCTGTCCACACCTTGACTCCTGGCCTCTGCCCAGTGTCTCCTGAGGTCCCTGACAGGAGAAGTCCAGGCTGAGGGGCTGAGGGGCTGTAAAGCATCCCCTCCAACTTGGGATGGGGATCCCAAAGAAAAGAGCAAATGTCAGCCTCCGCTGACTTCATAAGGGAGTTGGGGCCGGGCTAGTCAGTAGGGCATCAGCCTCTCTCGTCCCAACTCACTCAGGAAATTTCTATGTTCCCTGATAATGTCCAGTGGCCAGCCTGGAGCCCCATCATGGAGGGCCAGACGGGAAGGCCTATGGGAGGGATGGCATGGAGTAAGGACCCTAAGTAGCTACCCAGTTGGCCCAGGGGACCAACCAGCGTGTGCTGCAGCAGAGACAATTTCACACTACTGCGAACAGCAACCTGAGGGGCTTTTTCAGAGGCATCCACTCAGGTGAAGCCAGATCCTTGACTACCACAGGAGGGGATTTTAGAATGGGTCAGAGTGGAGCTGTTGTCAGGGTTTCTGTCCTGCCCGGTTCCCGCAGTCATTAAGTCCCAAAGAAATCACACAGGTCTACATTAGTTATAAACTGATTGGCCTATTAGCTTAGGCTTCTTATTAGCTCTTATAACTTATATTAGCCCATCATTCTTGTCTATGTTAGTCACATGGCTCAGTACCTTATTCAGCGAGGCAGTCACATCTTGCTTCTTCTGTGGCTGGGTCACAACCGCAGACTAGGACTTCTTTCTTCCCAGAATTCCCCTGTTCTCATTGACCCGCCTCTACTTCCTGTCTGGTTGTTCCGCCTCTACTTCCTGCCTGGCTACTGGCCAATCAGCATTTATTTAAGATATAATTGACAGAATACAGACCATTGTCCCACACCATGCAACAACACTGAGGTTTAGTAAAGGAAGAAATGTTGATGTAAATTTAACCATGGACTTAATAGACAGGTACAACAAGGTTGGATATGAGTTGTGAGCTATGGTCCTCTGCCTCACATTCTTTCTATGCCTTCACTGCCATGGTAGATCCCCTGGAACTGAGAGTCAATATCAGCAACTCCTTCCTTAAATGGCTTTTGTTGTGTATTTTGTCAGAGCAATAAGAGAATTAACTACCATGCCTGCTTCTTTTCTTGTCCACCATTTTTTTTAACGTGTCTTTGGTTCCCAGTCACTCAGTAGGGCAGGGTGGGAGGAGTTGTTCTAATCATAAGGCCTCTGCAGCCAGATGGGCATCAGATCAAATTCCACTTCCTATCCATCTGGCTATCCCAACTCAGAGGAGCATCTGAGCTCATTGGGGTTTGACCAATTCCACCCCAACCCCACCAGGGAAATGAGTACATTTGAAAGGCCACTCCCATGTAGTTCTGGGGAGTGGGGATTAAATGAAATAATAGACAAATGGGTTTGCACACTCCTGGTCTACATGGGGTCTTTGCAAGAGGAGGTGGGGGTAAAAAGAGACAAGCAGATAGACAGACAGACAGTCATGAAGCCAGAACCTGGCCTCATAAGCCCCTCCTCAGCGGCTGCTGTAATGTATATTGCCCTGTGTGTAGCCTGTCCCAGGCTGTGTTTAAAAGACAAGCCAATGGGGTCTTTAGGTGAAGGTGGGGGCTTATACTGTCAATTTTTGGAGGAGTAGGAACCAGTCAACCTTCCTGGATTTTCCTCCCAGTCTGGTCCTGTAGCCTTTATGAGAAGCAAGATTTTCTTAACTCTAAGTGGTTCTGAGGGTGCTCTCCCTGTCAAGAGAGAGAACAAGGACGCAGGAACAGTCCTTAGTCAACTGCTGGCTCCTGCTGAGCCACAGGCAGCCAACCCAGCCTCTCTCACTGTCTTCTGGTTGGGATGAAGAAGGAGGAAGAGGGGGGCCACCATGTCTACTCTGTCCCAAATGACCAAGAAGGGTGGTCTTCCCGCAGAGGTGACGTCTGAGCTGAAGCTATCCTAGAATCCCAGAGCTGAGGGGCTGAGTATCAGATGCTCTGGTCCAGGGTCACCTCCTGGATGCCTCCAGGGTCCTTAGGCTGCACAAGTGTCTGAGTGGGAAGAGGCTGAGGATGTGAGTGGGGGCTGGGAGACGTGTCTTTTCAGAGCCCTAGGTGTCCTGGCGGGACCGAATCCCAGCTCTGGTCCCCAGACAGGGCCACATTCAGGGTGGCTGGGCCTCCTTCTATTTCAAAAAAGAAAGTCTGACTTCTGTGTGTACAGCCTCGGTTTTTAAACCTCTCTCCCCACACCCTCCTCTCCCTCCTGTTCCTTTTCTCTTATTTCACGCAGTTTGTTTTCAGAAATCCTCCCAAGCCTGTGACATTTGCCTTCAGAGTTAGAATATTTTCTTTTTCTCTTTCCAGAGTGAGGCTGCTGGCTGAGATTTCCTTGGGGTCCTGCCTGCCCTGCTGGAGGGGAAGGGTGGGTGCAGCCCTGGGTTTCAGAAACAAGCCACAGGAAGCAACATTTGCACAACACCTTCTAAGCACCAGTCACCCACACACGCGTACACTCACACACACGTGCACTCATGTGCATGCATATGTGCTCTCTGAGAGATGAGGCCACCAGCTGCACTCAATCACCAGATGAGCAGAAACCTGAGGTTCTCCAGCTGTGGCCACGCAGAAAGCTGGGGTGGAACAGGTGAGGCAGTGGGGAGAAGGGAGGAGCTGTGGGAGACGATCCCCAAACCCTCTCAGCCAACGCTACAAAGTCATGGGGTGGGACTCGGGGTGGCCAACCACAGCCTCTGCAGGTACCTCTCATTGGCCTCATCTCTGTCCCCTCTTCCCTTCTGAAGGAAAAAGGGCAGACCCATGAGCCATCTCCTCTTCTTGGTGTGGGAGGGGGAACCAGGACAGAACCAGGCCTCAGGGAAGGCAGTCATGATTGCTCTTCAATGTGTTTGGTTTGGTCCATAATCCTTCTTCATTACTGTCACCAGAAAACTTCTGTCTCTATAAATCTCTCTCTCTCTCTCTCTCTCTCTCTCTCTCTCTCTCTCTCTCTCTCTCTCCCTTAGTCTCACCCTTTTTTAAAAATATCTTTGTCTATTTGCTTTGGAGTTTGTTTCTGTGTTTGTCTTTGAGACAGGGTCTCATTATATAGTCCTGGCTGACCTGGAACTCACTCTGTAGACCAAGGTGATCTTGAACTCACAGAGATCCACTTGCTTCTGTCTCTTGAGTGCTGGTACTAGCACGTGCCATCATGCCTAACCTGTTCTCACTCTTAATGAAGCTGCCATCCAGCACCCGAAATAAAGACCTTCAGCCTCGTTCTAGCCACAGCTGCCTCAGGTTAGGGTACACCAAGGCAACAGAGCCAAAAAAAGGGGAAAAAGGACAATCATTGGTCAGGGGGTAGAGGTGATGGTTAGGGACATCAATTACAGCCCACCCCTTACATCTAGGGTATACCTCCTTACTACAGGGCATGATCCAGCCTCATCACCACACCATTGAATAAACCCAGCATTGGGGTAAGAGGGAAAGACACTTGCCTGAGATTGACAGCCTGTCTCCAACCACCATGGAAGGAGTCATTAGATCACTCCTGAGATGTAATGAGAGCCAACCACTTTCAAGGTGATCCGTAAGCCCAACCCAATGGGCACCTTAGAACCCACCTGCATGCAGTCCCCCGCAAGGTGACTCAGGACGTGGTGGTTAAATCTCTGCAGTTGATGTCATCTTTGCCTGAGCAGGGGAGTGGACTCCCTCTGTGTGCTGCAGTTGAATACTGATTTAGTAACGATGGGAAGGACACAGTGCATTCAGGGGACTGGCCTCAGAGACCCCCCCCTCCCTCCCCAGGGTCTGCAAGCAAAGACCCAGCCACACACTCGTAGATGAGAGACTGCTGTGCAGAAGGTACCTTGGTCCCCTTCTCTGACGCAAAGGATCATGGGAGTTGTTACTTGTTCTCTTTAAATGAGCACATGCTTACGTTCCATGGTGAGAAAATGAAGCGCCATGCAGCTATATGTCAAACAGAGGTGAGGATCATGGCAGGGTGGGGTGCCGTGTCAGGAGGTGTAGTGATAGACACATGACTGCCATGTTGGCAATTTGGATGATGACGGCTGCTGTTGCTGTTGGAAACTGGGGTTCTTGGCAGGATGCAGAAGGTGTGGCTTTTGTCCTAGATACTGGCTGAGGGTTTGGCTGAATCTTACCAGCCACTCAGGAAGTTTCTACAGAGGAACTGACACTCGGTGCAAGGTGGGAGGTGGGGTGGGAACTCAGCGGGTCATGTGGCGGCAGGAAGGGCATTTCCAGGTGGGAGACCCAGCACACGTGATGGTCAGTCAGTTCAAGGTCAGAAAGGCTGAAGAGTGGGTGAGTTAAGGAGTTTGGGCAAGGGAGAAAGGCTGTAGAAGTGGGCCTGAAGGTCCCTCTTCCTGCCCACAAGTACCTATGAATGGTGCACACAGGGCCCCTTTCAATGCCCGAGTTCAAGTCTCAGCTCTGCTCCTTGTCAGCTTTGTGACTCTGGGCAAGTAGCTTTGTGCCTCTGAGCCTTGGCTTCTTCGGTGACAAAAATAAAGATACCGTGTGCCATGAAATGATGGAGGTGGGTCTTGTATCTTATCTGTTGATTTCATTGGTTAATAATAAAGAAACTGCCTCGGCCCTCATAGGACAGAAAATTAGGTAGGCGGAGTAGACAGAAGAGAATGCTGGGAAAAAGAAGCTGAGTCAGAGAGTCGCCATGATGCTCCCACTCCAGACAGACGCAGGTTAAGATCCTCTCTGGTAAGCCAGCTCGTGGGCTACACAGAATATTAAAAATGGGTTAGAACAATATGTAAGAGCTAGCCAATAAGAAGCTGGAACTAGCCGGGCCAGACAGTGTTTGAAAGAATACAGTTTCCGTGTAATTATTTCGGGCATAACCTAGCCATGCGGGCGGCGGGGTGCTGGGGACGCAGCCCCTCCGCTCCTAATTCAACAATGAAAGCTTATTATAGGAGTGAAGATTCATTCAGCAGTGCTTTTGGAAGCAGTGTTTGGTACCAGTTCTGCTAGATGCCAAGGACAGCTTGTTCTCGTGTGGCTAAAATGTTGCAAAAGACACAGTGGTTAAACAGCACTAACAAACAGGTGATCATGACATTGTTTGATCTCTGATCAAACTGAAAGGAAACTGAGGACTGTGGAGAGTGGTGAGAAAGTGGGGCCATGCCCCGTGAGGGTGTGGAAAGAAGACATGGTCACCAGGACGTGATGTGAGGATGGCAGGGAGCCAGGGTCAGGGAGTTCACCACAGAGGGAGAAATACAGTGAGAACCCCAGGGAGGGAGGCTGCTCGGGGTGTGGTAAAGAAACATTGATTCAGGCAGTGCGGCTGAAGCCACCAAAAGAGCTCCTGCATATACAAAGCAAACACTGGCTGAATTGAAGGAAGAAATTGATAGAGGCCACGTTAGCAGAGGGCTTCAATATCCCCGCTGTCAATAACAGAGGAAACAACCAGGCGGGCAATGGAGGAAGCAGGCACCTGAACAACCCTATTGACCAGCAGGATTCAAGTAACGGACATTCTCCAGGACAGGCCGTGTGTTAGGCTACAGAGCAAAACAAGTCAATAGAATTAGGAATATTAAAATCACACACAGGAGCCTTCCCAGTCAAATGAAATGAAGCTGGAAATCAGTCCTAGGCAGAAAATAAAAATCCCCACAAATATGTAGAAGTTAAGTAGCACACTCTTTTTTCTTTAAAACAGGGTCTCATTCCTGGCTGGCCTGGGACTCATTACACAGACGAGGCTGATCTCGAACTCACAGAGACCCACCTGCCTCTGTCCCTCAAGTGTAGGGATTAAAGATGTGTGCCACCACACCCAGCAAGCAATCCATTCTTAAACAACCAATGAATAGATCATAGAATGGCTAACAAAACAATTAAAAAATACCTTGAGAGAAGTAAACGAAAATCTGGCTGGAGAGATGGTTTAGCAATTACAGTTGTTTGCTGTTCTTGCAGAGAACCTGGGTTCGATTCCCAACATCCACATGGCAGCTCACAACCTTCTGCAACTCCAGTTCTAGGGGATCTAATACTCTCTTGTGGCTTTTGTAAGTGCAGTACACACATGGTACTCAGACACACACATATACACATTAAATAAATACATTTTGAAAAAAAATACAGTGTACCAAAATGTAGGGAGTGTTGTAAGAAGCAGACTGTGGGGGAAGCTTGCACTATAAACTTCCCTGTTGAAAGAGAAATATCTCAAATTAAAATCCTTACTTTATACCTCAGTAAGAGAAATCAGAGCAAACTGAACCTGTAGCCGTCAGAAGAAAGAAAACAACAAAGATTGGAGCAGAGCTGCGTGAAATAAGCAAAGAGGAAAAGAATAAAGGGAAATTGGTAGCACTAACAGTCCTCTAGAGATCAGCAAAATTGACAGACTCTTCAGTAGATAAACTAAGAAAAGAAGAAGGAAGAATCCAATAACCAAAATCAGGTATGAAAGAAGATATCACAATTGATGTCGCAGAAATTTAAAAGACTATAAGATAACGCTGTGGCATTGACTGTTGGTGTGCTGGGTAATCTCACAGAAAGGGCTAGATCCTTGGGAACGTAAAGCTTCCTGAGAAGAAAAAAAATAAATCTGTGCCATGTATATATGTATGTATATGAATGGATGACCTGGAACTAGTGAGGAAATTGGATCTATAACAAATAACCACACAGCATAAGCAGCCCAGGGCATGATAGCCTCAAAATGATACCAAACATTTGAGGAATTAACATCAACTCCATCTCACAGGGGGAAAAAAAGCTGCAGGGGAAGGAAAGTTATGAGTTCATTCTCTGAGACAAGTGTTCCCCCAGTACTGAAGCCAGGAAAGTGCCACCAAAAATCAAACAAACAAAAAACTCACAAGTTACAAAAAAAAAAAAAACAAAAAACAAAAAAAAAACACCCACACACTAATAATATGTTCAGGTAAAAACCCACAACAAAATGTGCACAAGGTAAGTTTAACAGAACTCCAGTGAAATGTGGAGGTTTGAACAGGAACTCTCCCCATAATCTCAGATATTTGGTCCCCAGTTGATGGCACTGTCTGGGGAGGAAGTACATCACTGGGGGAGGGCTCTGAGAGCTTATAGCCTTGTACCACTTCCAATGCGCTCTCTCTGCATCCTGAATGTTAAAGATGTGATCTGTCAGCTTCCTGCTGCAGCCGCCAGCTACCACACCTCCCCCACCACTGTGGGCTCTCTCTAGAGCCATAAGCCAAGGAAACTCTTCCATAAGTTCCTCTTGGTCAAGGTATTCTATCGCAGCCACAAGGAGGTGGCTAACACATCAGATTATTTCCCCCAGACTGCCAAGATGCTCTGACACACAAAAGCCAGTCAACACCATGCCCTGCCTTAGGAGGCAAAGGCAACCAGTCATTCCAAGCAGCAAAACATCTAGTAAGAGCTTAAATTCCTTTCCTGTTTAAGAACATTAACACACCTGAGTAGGAACAGAAGGAAACCACATCCTGAGAATCCACAGCCAAAGTCGCTCTCAAATGTAAAACAAAGAGGGCTTTCCATCTTGGACCAGGGACAGACAAGGGTGCCTTTCCACTCTGCTCCCATTCAACGCAGCTCTGATGGCCCCAGACAAAGCAATTAGTCAAGGAAAAATAAATACTTGGAATCTGTGATGGTTAACGTTGATGTCTATTTACCAGGATTTAGAATAGCCCAGGCCATGACTCTGGCGTGTCTGTGAGGCTGTTAACAGAGATGTCTAACTGAGGAGGAAGGACCCACCCAAAATGTAGGCAGCACCCATCCGTGGGTGGGTCTGGGACTGAATAAATGGAAAGTACAGAGTCCAGTGCCAGCATTCTCTGCCCTCTGCCCTCTGCTCCTCCAAGATGGGAGGAAGTGAGAGTCCCAGCTGAGCACCTAAAACATGGATGTACTCAAGTAGAACTTGAAGTTTACAACACGGATGAACCTTAAGGATGTCATGCTCATTAATACAAGATAGTGAGTTGCAAAAAGCCAAATATAAGACCAGTCTAGCTATATGAGACATCTAGATGAGGCCTCCCATAACATGGTTCCCAGAGAGAAGGGTCATGCCACTCAATAGGATTTCAGGCCTATGGAAACTCTCTGGCATTGGAGCTGCTGGTCTCACAGTCCAGAGAACGTCTGCAGTGCCACACTGATCTGCTCGTCTAAAATGACTGCAATGGTGGGTGCTACACAGGGTAAATACTGCCTTAATAAGCAAAAAATGTAAAGGCTTCAACCAGTGTGATATACCATATTGATAGTCGTCTCAAATTGGTACAAAAAGAAAAGAAGGAAGAATGGATGGGTGGAAGGAAGGAAGGGGGAGGAAGGAAGGAAGGAAGGAAGGAAGGAAGGAAGGAAGGAAGGAAGGAAGGAAGGAAGGAAGGAAAAAGACAGGCCTGGAAAATGATATCTACAAAGGACCCCAGCATCACACATCAGAGTCAAACCTCTTTCTCTTGCAGCCAGGAGCGAGGCTTTCTCCTCTCCATACCAGCGGGCTCCCATCTCAGCTGCGCTCAAGGGTTGACCCAGACTCGCTCTCCTGCAGGGAGAGCACAGACAAAGAACAAACCGCTATTGGCCTTAGAGACACACAGCTTCAGAGAAGTAAGCAGTGCCTGACTTGGGAGTGGGAACGTTGCAGGGACTGTGCCTCGCCGGTGGGGACACTGGAAATGTCTAAATGTGCCATCATTCCTCACCCAGCTTCTCTGAATGCTCTTTGCTGTCATAAGATCCCTTCTGATGGCTTTTTTTGGAAATCGCTTTAAAAGCCATTGCGTTAACCTATTGTCCTGTTATTTGGTTTGTCCTTTAGTTCTGTTTGGTTTGAAAAACAAATGCCATTTTCGTGGAACATGAGCAGCAATGGGAGGTGGGACCAAGACAGGACTATTGTCCCCCTCCCCTCCTCTTTCAAGTTACCCTCTGTCCACCGAAGCCTGTGTCCTCACCCACCCAGGCCTCCACTCACGTGCCCACTGCTTTTGCAGACAGGGCCAAGAATGACTGTGGACACTGCCTCTGCACACACTCCTTGAAGAGCTACCACTGCACCAGCCATGCAGCCTGCATTCTCCTCTGAGCATAGGTGAGCCCAATCCATGTCTCCCCACAGGCCAAACCAAAGGCCCTGCACAGGAGTGTGGTGGGGGGAGATTCAGAAACGTGCTGGTTGAGTTGAGTAGAACTTGACACAGAATCCGAACATGGCCCTGAGTTTGTCTCGGAGTGAGGAAAGAAAAGGCTTGGAAATGAAACGCCTCTTCCACAGCTCTCTGGAGAGCACACCCTTCTGCCTGTGACAATGGACTGTGAGCTTGTCTGGGCACACGCGAACATCACTGTAGGCCACACAGTGCTAATGTGTGAGCACTGGCCCTGAAGGTCATGAGTAGGTCACACAGACCAGCGCAGCTTCTCGCTAGTGTTTCTCCAGCCTAATCCTCCAGGAAGCTGACTGCTGTAGCTGGAGTTTTATTTAGAAACTACTAAGATGAGAAACACCTCATGATCTCAGAACAGATAAAACTGATCATTTATTACAAAGCTGGAAATTCAGGAAGAAGAGCCAGAAATGCTATGTAACCTTAATGTCAACTTCATAAATGAAAAGCCAACTCCTCAAGAGAGGGACAGAGGGACAGAAAAGGGGAAGACCACTCCACACCATGGTGACGGTGGCCCAGGCTGCAGTATGAACACAGATGAGCTCAGTGCCACAAACCATTCCCTCCTGTCCTGGGGCACCAGGGGCCTCCACTTTCCTCCTAATGTGTGTTCCACATACACTGCTTCTCTGCTTGATAACACACAATTCATTTAAGGCTCTCTGGTGGTCGCTTTGTGTCTCCAAAGCGTGTTTTTCACAGGAAGATCAATTTCAAGAAGGTACTTAAGTCTGTGCAACATAGAGCCATTAACCAGTGCTAAGTGGCCCATTGTTCACAGAGGGGTCTTTGCCTGAGACCCAGCCATGATAAAATTCTGCCCAGCCACCCCGTGGGGAACCCTGGAGCCACACTCCCAGCAAGGTTTTACAACTCTTAATTATTTTCTCTCCAACTGAAGTTCAGTTTCAATACTGAGTCCAGGGAGACCAATGAAGAAGCCGCAACAGAAAGCAAATTAGATACACAGAGAAGCCCTCCCACACAGTCCCCCTAAAGGTCTCTGCTCCCCAGACTTCCTCCATAGGTGGGGAACTATGGGAAGCAGAGAAAGTCTTGAATGTGTGTTGTTGACATGGGCACATACATGTCAAGGACCCCAGTGCCTCAGACTCACGGGAATGAAAGCAAGGCTCAGGAGGGTGACAAGCAATGATGGCAGTGTTTGACAGGGGTGTGCAAAAACTAGCAACTGAAGCCTTGCCTTCCAGGACGTTGACAGCCTGAGACAGCTGCCGGTAGACACTTCACACACAGATTAGCTCACCTTCTCCTGGGCTACACACAGCAAGCTCAGTGAGAGTCCAGAGCGCTGCATAGGCACGGCTCTATCAAAGCACCCACAGCCCACTTGACCCCAGCTTTTGTTCATATGCTTCTATGTCCTCTCTTAGTTCCCTTGGAGACCCCAGCTAAGGTTCCAGGACCCAAGACACACAGGAAGTGGCAGGGAACAGCATCTGGCTCCCCGAGCCCCGGTTTCCAGCATCCCACATTAGCCAGGCTCAAGGATGTCCGGGAGAAAAACATACAACCGAGATGTGCCATCTGGCCACCGCCGCTGGACCGGTTTCCAGCCGGTGTTCCAACCACCCTGATGAACCATCATCCTAGCTAAACTAGCCTAGCTCAGCCCAGAGCAATAGAACCACACAGCCAGTAAATCTGCAGACCACACACCCGGGAGAGAGGGAGGACTTCTCTATGTCTCAAGGCACCCTGACACTTGTATAGCTGAATCTGTGTGTCTCCCTCACTCATCCCTTTGTTCAGTCATTCAATAAGTGCTTGCTATGGGTTTGCATTCTCACTTTCTGCCCTCACAGAACATACAGAAGGCAGTGGCATTAAACAAATATAACAATAGCGAAAATAAATAATCTTTTGCTCTGAGTTTCCATAAAATACCCTACCAAGAAATTAAGTGGCAGCCTCATTGCACAGAACCGCTAGGTAGAAGAGCAGGCCCTTACAGGGAGGGAACTCACCCCGCTGAGTGCAAGGCTGAGCTCACTCTACACGTGGGAGCCTGGTGATTGAGTCAGTCCAAGGAGGGGGAGGAAGTGGAGCTGACATTCAGGGGCCAGCAGGGGGAGCAAATGCGCAGTCTGGCAGGATGGGAGGGGATGGCCATGGCCACAGAGCCTGGCACAGAGAATGGTCTCTGTCTTCTGTGAATGGCACTTCCCTGCTAGCTCACTGGATGCCTGTGAGTCCCTATTCCTCAACAGACACAGAGAGACACTAACTCCTCTTGGGTTGTTTTGGGCGGGCTGTGGATTATGAGGATCAAGTAAGACCATATGTGGAGAAAGAAAAAGTAGACCCAGGTCCTGTCACATGCTTCAGGACACACACACACACACACACACACACACACACACACACACACCGGCTCATGAAGTCATAGAACACATAGCATCCAGGCACCAAAAGAGCAGACATCAGAGTCTGCGCATCTGTTGACTCCTCTCGTCCCCCACCTTGCCAGCTCCAGCCTCCAGCAGGGCAGTCCTTTGAACAGAAAGTTCTGCTGCTCCCCAGGAACACTCACTGTCCTGGATAATTTTTACTGTTAACTTGCCATAACCTGAAGTCACCTCGGACGTGGAAACCTCAGTTGAAGAACTGCCAAGATGGGCTCCTATGCTTGGGGTCTGATCTGTGAAAGTCATCTTGACCGATGACTGCCGTGGGAGAGTCTGGTTCACTGTTGGAGGCACCATTCCTAGGCAGGATGATTTGGGCTATGGAAGAAAACTAATTGAGCCTGGCCCAGAGAACAAGCCAGCAAACAGCTTTCCTCCGTAGCTTCTGCTTCAGGCTTCTGTTTTGAGTTCCTGTCCTAGCATCTCGCAGTGATGGGCTGTGACCAGCAAGTATAAGCAGAAATAAGCCCCTCCCTCCCCACCTTGCTTTTGGTCAGAGTGTTTCATCACAGGAACTGAAAGGCTAACTAGGACATCACTTCTCCAAGCCACTTCCCAAATTCTCTCCCAGACCGTTGCCAAGAGCTTGGCTTTGTGTCCAGAACCTTCATCCCAGGACCTGGACTGTGTCTGGGGATGCTCACTTCTTGGTCCCCATCCACCTGTGAGCACTCAGAGGTCCCAGACTACGCTGGTCATCTCTGCATTCCTTTGACGCCTTGGTCATGCAGACTCAGGGTTTGGGGCAGTTCTGTTCTTCCATATGTCACCCGTGAGGGGACAGGTCACTTACCTAGGGACTAGACCCCAAATGACTATACCGGGAGTCTGTGGCACAGAAGCAGGACCAGGGCCAGCTGACTGCGTCAGAATCTTTCTCGTGGCAAGGAGGCTTGGCACAGGCAAGAAGCAGGACCAGGGCAGTTCTTTCCATCCTCACAGTGAGTGCTTGGGTAGGAAGGACTCTTCCCCTTTTGCCGATAAGGGCCCAAGAATCAGAGTGTCTTCACCAAGAATATGTCCCTGAACCAGGACGTCCCAAGTACATGCGATTTCTCCTCTTTTTCCTTTCTTCTTAGTAATCAGCTGAAGGACTGTGGCTCTACAGACTCTCAGGATATGAGGACAAGGAGGCAGGATGCCGTGGAGGGGGAGGGGGCTGGAAGTAAGTTACGGAGAAGAGTCTGATGGTGTCAGACAGGCTAGCATCTGGGGGCTTAGCAAGATTTGGGGGTCTGTTACAGAAAGGGTTCAAGTGAGAGGTCTCCACCCAGAGTCAGACCAACCTGGGTTCAAATCTCAATTGTCTTACACAGGTGACCTTGGTGGCTTCATTTGACATCTATGGGACTTGGTATCCTTATACTCAGTATAGAGCAAAAGTATCTAACTAGATTCTTTCCACCCCACGTGTGTGTGTGTGTGTGTGTGTGTGTGTGTGTGAGTGTGTGTGTGTATGTAGGCAGGCAGGCAGGTAGGTAGAAGGTAACCTCGGGTGGTATTCACTTTGACTAAGACAGAGTCTCTCTGATTGGGCTAGGCTGGCTGGCCAGCAAGTCCCAGGAATCCACCAGGCTCCACCTCCCCGGTGCTGGCAATACTAGCACAAACCGCCATGCCTGGCTTATCATGCCGGTCCTGAGGATCAAACTCAAACCCTGTGCTTGAAGAACAAGCACTTTGCTGACTGAGCAGTTCCCCACAACCCAGCTGGATTTCACAGACGCCTCTAAGGGTCCACCCGCGTCAGAGCACCCGAGTCCACCTGAGGCAAAGTCTGCCTTCCATCAGAGGAGGCTGTGGCACCTGGGACTGGTTAACCAGGCCCCGCCCTGTTTCTCTCCCCTCTCTCTAGAGATGAAAAGTCAGCTTCCTCCTTGTGGAAATACCACACTCCTCACTTCCCCCACCCATCACTCCCACCCCACCCCACCCTACCCCACCCCCGTTACCAGGATCTATTTTCTCTCCTAAGCCTCTTTTCAGGCCAAAGGTGGCTGATTTAATCAGGGACCTCATGCCAAAGCTGCGGGGGCAGTCCCCTCCCTGGATGGCACAAAGCACGATGCTGAACTGCTGAAGACTAGAAGAAGGTCCCTCCGAGGACTTCGGAGCCTTCCCTGTAACGACATTCATTAGTGGCCTAACACCAAGGCCACTCTCAGGTCCCCGTGTTTAACTTAATGAGGCATTTATTTTCAGTTGGGAAGCTCTTGAAGAGCGTGTTTGTTCCCGGTGAGCTGCGGTGATGAATAGATCAATACCGTGGGAAGAAAATGAAGCTAACAGGCTCCATCTCATTCTGCAGTTATAGCCGGCCTTGAATTAATTTGCATTAACCTAGTTATTTCTTATGGGAATGAACAAGAAGTTTTCTGCTTGGATCCACTGTTTGGATGCCGTTCGTCTGGACTTTTCCCTTTCCAGTGGTCCTGGGGAAATTAAAAACAAATTAAAACAACTAATAGCAGTGTGTGGTGGGGAAATGGTGTGCGTGGAACGGAGCAACAGGAGAGACGGGAACGTGAGCCAGAAACTTCCGCATGATGACAGAAACAGAAGCCATAGTGGACAGGGCAGAGTCCACGGTCTTTCCCCATTATCAGAAATCAGCTCTACTTGGTTCACTGTCACAGCCCCCATGCTCAGCATCCAGCAGGTGCTCATGGGTGTTTGTTCATTGACTGAAGGAGATGCTCAGCATTGAAGACTTCACTGCCACTCACGGGGTCTG